CTCTGTGCCTGGCCAGCCCAGCACCTCCCACGGCCCCAGGCAGGCTCAGAGCCTGCTCCCTCATCTGCGTGGGCTGGGCCGTGAGCTCTGTGTCCCTCTGCCTCTGTTTGCTGCCCTTTGCCTTGGGCAGGCCCCCAGCCAAGACGGGCTGTGTGGGAGGCCCCTGCACCCCCCCAGCACAGCAGGCCCTGCGGCCACCTTCTCCCTCCCTCTGCCCCGGGGGGTCTAGGGCAGCCTACTCGGAGGGTGGGCACCTCCACCTCGGGACACCCTCCCTGGCCACCTGCATCCCATCCTGGCCAGCACCTGGCCTCGCACCCCAGCACCCACTCCAGCCTTCTGCCTCGGAACAGGACAGCGACAGCATTGTGTGCGCGGGGCCACCCGACACCCCCCCCTCTGGCTCAGCACCCCCCTCAGGGCCTCCGTCCAGCCCTGGACACTCACTCACAGGGAGGCCAGGCGACAGGGAAGGGGCAGCCCAGGGGAGGGGAGGCAGTGGGCGTTGTGGGCCCGACTGTGGACCCAACTGGTCTGGGTCCACACATCAAGCCGTGCAAAGGCCCTGAGGCCACAGTAGGCAGGTGTGGGTGGAAGTCGGCCAGAGAGGAGTGAGGGGCAGCCGAAACGGGGGCGGGGGCACTGCCCTTGAGGGGCAGGGGAGGGCTGTGGAGGGTGAGCAGAGGGGTGGGCTTGCCCAGGGTTAGACTTAAAAAAAAAAAAAGATTTATTTATTTATGCATACAAGAATTGGGGTGTAGGCCAGAGGTGCAGGAGTGAGAGGACTCCCCAGAGACAGTGGGGAGCAGAACAGGAGGATCCACTGACACACTGCTGAGGGGAGCAGCAGGGAGACAGGGGTCACTGTGGGTCACTCCCTGGCCCCGGTCCCACTGGTGCTGCAGTGGCTGCTGAGAGCTTCGCAGTGACGAGACCTGACCCCTGCACCCCCAGGGAGGCCCCAAGGTTAGACTTGCTGGAGCCTTCCTGGGAGGGGCAGTCGCTAGGGGTTGTGGGGTCTAAACCAGGTGAGGAAGGGGTGAGGGCACAGTGTTAGGGCCCTGGGGTGCTGGAGCAGGGATTGGGGGAGGGAGCCGGGACATGAGGAGGGCTGAGCTGAGCTGGGTGGAGGGCGAGGCTGTGGCAGGAGCTGAGGGCACCCCAGTCCTGTGGGCACCGGACCCCGGGCCCAGCCCCAGCCCTGCGCCCCTACCCGCTCCGTGCCCGGGGCCCAGCCCCACCAGTCCCCCGGGGAACCAGGAGCTGGGGTCCCACTGCCACGGGCGCAGATGGGAGAGGAAGAACAGCCCCTGAGGAGCAGGGCGGGAGAGCCCGGGCCAGGGCGAGGACGTGGGGTGCTGGGTCCAGGGCGGCCTCAGGGCCGGTGCCCAGGGCAGGGGATGGCTGGGAGGGCAAGGACCAGGGTTGGCCTGGCCCCGCTGGAGACGCCGCAGGGCAGCAGCTGACGCGAGGCTGCGCCTGGGCCAAGCGCGGGGACCGGGCGGCCGTGCGGGGAGAGCCTCAGGTCCGGGGTCAGCAGGCCCCTTCCCAGGCACCTGTCACTGGGACCCGGCAGTAAAGTGCCGCGTCCAGGCCTCTCTGCCTTGCTGTGGATGGTGTCACAGCCGGGGTCGGAGCAGACCCCCTGCCTGTCCCGTGCCCCCCAGGCCAGCCCCGTTTCTTCTCTGCACCAGGCCCCTGGTGCCTTTGTAGCAAACCCGACACCTGCTCGCCGCAGGCCACTTTGCTCTGAACAAGCGGACGGTATGGCTGGGCGGGGGTTCCCCTTCAAGTGGCCCGGCGGGGCGGCGGGGTGTGCCGGGCCCCGACCCTCCCACTTCAGGCTGGGTCACTGGGCTTCCTGCCCCTCGCAGCAGCCAGCAGCGCGCGGCGGCCCCGGGCTCCCCAGGCTGCAAGGGGTCACCTGCCTCCCCCAGAGACCGAGGCTCCTTAGTTCTCAGCCGGGGGCCTCTCCCCGGGGAGACGGCTGGGCAGTGTCCGGCCAGCCCCAGCACACACTTGCCCTTGTGACCCACGCCCTGTGGGCATGACCGCCCTCGCCAGACAGTCTTCCAGGCGGTTCAGGAGCCGTTTTGGATGTCGGGGTGACTCGGGGCCGAGGGCAGGCTCCAAGCTCAGCTCCCCCCGGGCGCCCTGGCCCCAGCCAGCCGTGCCCCCAGGGCAGCCGGTTCTCCTGAGCTCAGGCTTCTCATCCCCACTGCCAGGCTCCCCTCGCTGATTGCGTGGCCTGTGTTGCCCAGGGTGCCTCCGAGGAGGGACCGTGCCCCATGGCCCGGAGTGGACACACACCGGCTGTCGAGCTCCAGGGGCCACCCCCCCCAGGACGGGAGAGGCAGGAGGGGCAGCCCGGCCAGCCTGGCCTGCGGAGGGCCCCCCCTGGCCGTGCCAACCGACTCTTCGGTTGGGACACTCGGCGCAGCCTCGGGGCCGGCAAGGGGCGGCCGGGCAGCGGGGGCCTGAGGCCAGGGGGCCAGCCCGGAGCCACAACCCAGCTGGACTTCTAGAACAAGAGCTGCCTGCGGCGCCGGGGACAAGCAGGGGTCACGGGACCATCCAGGAGGGTGGCCTGCAGCCGCAGCACCTCCAGCCCTGAGAGGGGAGACGTCCACGGCGAGCGGAGGGCGTTCCAGGGGCCGGTTCTCCTTACTCAGTAACCAGAGATCGGGGCCGTCCATGCTTGGCCGTTGTGACCCCGCCGCGGTGCGCCTCCCCTGGCCGCGCCACCCACCAGCTCCCCATCTGTCCTGGCCCTGTGAGTGGATGGTTGCCTGGTCTGCCCGCCACCCGGACCCTCCCCCGCAGCTCCCCCAAGCGCCCTCGTCCTGCTGGAATGCAGCGTCTCCTCCTCCCCTGCCCCAGGTGTGATGCCCACAGCCGCCAGGCCCAGCCCTCAGCGGCGGCCACGCCCTGGGCAGGAGCCCCGCGTGGCATCCTGGTCTTGGATGGACACCTCGGGAGTGGGCAGGGGGCCGCGGTGGCGCCCCCCTGGGGCTCTGAGCTGCCTTTCCTTTTTCGCATAATCCTGCTCCCCACTCTGACTCTGGTGCCTCCCCTCACCCCCGCATTTCTGGCCTGTGCCCCAGCTCTCGTGTGCATAAATAAATCAATCTTTTAAAACAAATTTAAAAACCTGTAATTCAGGCGAACTGCAGATTCACAGAGAAGTGGGGAAGATGACGCGAGCCCCCGTGGGCGAGTCCCTCGGCCCCCGGTGGAAAATCTCGCTGGTCCGCGGCCAGCGCCTGCCGGGGCCGCCTGCTCCTCCCCACGCCCCTGCTCGGCAGCGCCGCCATCTGGCCCTACGCCCTGGCCGGCCCTGTCTCCCCGCAGCACCAGGGCGGGGCCAGAGGGCTGGGGCTCCCGCTGCCCCGCGGGCTGACACCCCCTAGGCGCCTGCCTGGGGCGCTGCTGGCCAGGTCTCTCCCATGAAGGTTTTCTTCCCACGCGCGGCTGCTCCTTGGGTGCCCGCCCCGGGAGGGCCCTGCCGAGCCCCGTTCAGCACAGGTGTGTTTCCACGCGTCCTCAGGCGTGAGCAGGGACAGAGCTGCAGCCTCCCCCCAGCTGTCAGGGCGGGCATGGACGCCCCTCCCCTGAGGGAGATCTGGCCGCAGCCCAGCCAGGCCATGGCACGGGCCTGGGGCTCGCCAGGGGCCGAGGACGGGCTGCGTGCTGGTGGCTGGCCACGTCCTCGCTGCCCTCCACATGGCTGCACGCGGCCAGGGGCCTGCCGGACCAGGGGACAGCGCGAGGGGCGCAGAGGCCCAGCAGCCTGGCCGGGCCCTCTGACCTGGGATGGTCTCCAGGGTGCCAGCTCCAGGGGGCCCCCACAAGTGACCCTCTGCACATGATCGCTCCAGCCCAGGCACTCGGGGCAGCCGCAGCCCAGAGAAGTGCCCACCCTCCGCCGGCTCCCTGGCCTCACTCCGCACCCGGAGTCGTGGTGCCTCCCCCCTGATGCAAGTGTCAGGCCCTGCAGCGGTCACCTCACTCTCCTCCACTCACCCTCCCGCCCTCGGGGAAGCCTTGTCCCTCCTCTGGGAACGGCTGACCCTGCTGCCTCGCAGGGCTTGTGACGCTGGCAAGTGTGGGAAACCCCAAACGCCAGCCGTGCTCTGCCGTGCTGCGTCCCCCTGGACCACCCCAGCTGGCCTGCTGGCCACGGGCACTGCCCACAGCCAGCGGCTCCCAGAGGTGCGGGCCGGAGGCTGGCGGGGCTGCTCTGGGCCCACCTGGGGCCTCTCCATGTGTGAGCCGGGCCTGGCTTCAGGCAGCCCGAAGTCGCGGTTGCCAGGAGGCTCCCGGGAGACCTGGCCAGCAGAGCCAGGTGGACAGGCCCTGCCTGCTTCTCTACCCCACCCGGCTCCAGTGCCCCAAGGCTCCTGGGCTGGCCAGGGGCCCAGCAGGCCTGTGGGAGCAAATCCCAGACAACAGCAGGCCCACGCCCCGCGGCTCAGGCCTCCGGGGGCATGGCCCAAGGGTGCCTGCCTGGGAACAGGCCCTCCCCGGCCCACGCCCAGAGGCCGGCGCCTGGACCCCTCGTCAGTGGGGGCTTCCACCCGGGCCAGGAAGGCCAGGACAGAGCGTCCCCACGCGTCCGGCCTCTCAGGCCCGGCCGCTCACAGCTCTAGGCCCCTCTCCCAACCCAAACTCGGGTTTGCTCCCCGAGGGCCGGGGAGGTGCACACCAGGGGATCCCCCACAGCAGCGCGAGGCCTGCAGAGAGGACCACCCTTGAGCCAGAGCAGGTTTATGGAGAGGAGGGCGGGGCGGGGCGGGGCGGGGCGGGGCGGGGCGGCGCGGGGCGGGGCCGGCGGAGGCCGGCCGGGGCGGGGGCGCGGAGGCCGGCGGGGCGGGGCGCGGGGCGGAGGCCGGCGGGGCGGGGCGGAGGCCGGGGCGGGGCGGGGCGGGGCGGGGCGGGGCGGGGCGGGGCGCGGGGCTTCGGGGCGCGCGGCGGGGCTGCGGGCCGCACGGGCACGGGTGCTACTGGGCGCTCTGCTGGCGGCCGCGGTCTCGGTTCCGGCGCAGCACGATGCTCGGGCTGAAGGCGACCCCCAGCGGCCAGTGGCGCACCACGTGCCGGTAGGACGTGGCCGGGTAGTCGAAGTAGTTGATGTGGAGCTTCCGAGCGATGTGGCGGCCCAGCAGCTCCACCTGCTGCGCGGCGGGCGGGCCGGGTCGCGGCGCGCACCCCCTCGCGGCCCAGCCGACCCGGCGCCCCTCCCGCCCGCCCTCCTCGGCGCACGGGGCGCCCCCGCGAAGCGGCCGCGGTTCACGAGGGGCGGGCGGGGCTACCTCGTAGCGCTCGGACAGCTGCACCAGCACCAGCGGCTCCAGCTTGTGGCCGCACAGAACCAGCTGGAAGAAGCACCTCCCGCGGGCTGCGGAGCGCCCAGGAGCGGGCGCTCAGCGGGGCGCGGGGCGCGGGGCGCGGCTCCGGGGTACGGAGGGCCTCGGGCTCCAGGGCGGGGCTGGGGCGGGGCGACGGGAGGCCGGCCCGGGGCGCCCCCGCACCCCGCATCCCGCCCGCCGCGGGCCGGGGCGCACCGTCGCAGCTGAGCGCCAGGCGCACGTAGACCAGGTGCAGCGGGCCCTGGTGCACCTCGCGGCCGCGGATGGAGAAGTGGTACATGCCGCGCGTGTGGTTCAGCACCAGGCGGCGCCGCGGCAGCGACGAGACCATGAGCCACAGGCCCACGCCCACGCCGTACGCGGGGAAGCCCCAGGTCTCCTGCTGCTGCACCTGCCGGCACCGCGGGGCCCTGAGCGGCCGGGCCCGGGCGCTCGGGCCGGGGCGTGCGGAGGGGGCCGGCCCGGGGCGCCAGGGAGGCGGAACCAGACCTCGGACCTGGCGCACGAGGCCGAAGCTGACCAGGATGACGGAGACGACGAAGAGCAGCGTCCCCTTCCACAGCGTGTCCAGGTAGTACTCCAGCACGAAGACTGCGCGGGCGGCGCGCGGTGAGCCGCGGCCGGGCTCCGGCGGGGCTGGCCGCCCCCCGCCCGCCCCCGGCCCCCCCAGGCCCGCCCCCGGCCCGCCCGGCGGGGTTCGCGTCCGGGGCGCCCCGGGCCCGCCGGCGCACCGTTGGGCTGCTGCTGCGTGAACGGGTAGAAGGTGTTGCTCCTGAGGCACCGGGCCAGGTGGCGCTCGGTGCAGAAGAGCCCGAGCCCCCAGAGCTGGAGGCGCTTGCCGGGGGACGGCGCGGGCGGGCCGCCGACCCGGGCCCTGGGGAACTGGCGGGCACAGGCTCAGCCCCCCGCGCCCTCCCCGCGCCCCCCCCGCGCCCCCCCCGCGCCCACCTGGACGTAGGGCTCCAGCGCTGCGGCGGTCCGGTCCGGTCCGGGAGCCGGCGGGAGCGGTCCGGGGCTACGCGCGGCCCAGGGAGCGCCACGCCCGCGTTCTAGAAGCTCCGCGCAGGCGGTTCTAGAAGGGCCGCTCTGTGGACCGCCTTCCCCCCGGCCGCCCCCACCCCCAAGGCCCCTTTACTGCGGCCCGGTCCGGAGTGGGGGTGGGGGCGCCCTGGGACACACCCTCCGTCCAGCCCCCCCGCCCCCCGCCGGGCCCAGGCCAGGGGCGGGCCCAGGCCCGGCCCCGCCCCCAGCAGCCCCCTCCGACCAAGGACCACGCAGACTCCCCAAAACCGTTTATTCTAACAAAATGCGGGCACGGGGGGCGGGGCGGGGCTAGCTGGGGGACGCGGGGCCGGCGAGGAGCCGCTGCAGGCAGGCGCGCACGGCCTCGGCGCCGCGGTGGGCCCTCTTCAGGCCGCGCGGCAGGCAGCGGCAGGCCTCCAGGTTCAGGTAGCTCAGGCCCGGGCAGCAGCTGATGACCGCGCTGTGGGGCAGGTAGGCGGGCGGGCGGTGGGGGCGGGCACCGTGCGCCCGGGGTCTCCCCGGTCAGGCAGCCCCCACAGCAGTGCCCCTCCCCTGGAGCAGCCCTGCTCGGACAGGACAGGTGGAGCTGACCCAAGGGGGGACGGCTGACCTGACGGCACTCGGTGTGACCCGGGTGCCCCTGAGGCTGAGGGAGCACAGGGCCGGGTGGGCACCGCCCGTGGTGCCCGAGAAGGCAGCAAGGGCCTGCTCCAGGTCCTTCTCGCTGAAGCCCTGGCCACTCAGGTCCAGCTCCCGCAGGCTGTGGCACCACCTGTGGGTGAGCAGGGGGCTGCCCTCCTTGGCCAGCGATAGCCCGTCTGATGCGCCGTACAGGCCCAGGTGGAGCTGCTCCAGCTCTGCAGGGAGGGGGTGTGAGTGAGGTCGGGCCGGGGCGCTCCCCCACCCTCCGCGGCGGGGCACGGGTGCTGACCCTGACAGGGCAGGTCGTGCAGGCCGGCGGGTGTGACGCGGGTGCAGCCGCGGAGGTCTAGCAGGCGAAGGCGCGGGGAGCTGTGCAGCAGGCGGGCCAGGACCTCGTTGCTCACGACGCTGCAGCTGGAGCTGGCGAGGCAGAGCTCCTCCAGGCCGGGGAAGCCGGGGCCCAGCGCCCCCCTCCCAGGGGGCTTGGGCAGCCACATCAGGTTCAGCAACCGCAGCACCTGTGAGCAAGGCCCAGGCTGCAGGGGGTGGAGGGGGTGGGGCCTGGGCGGGGGAACGGTGGGTACCTGCAGCTGGGGACAGCCTTTCTGCAGGGCCTCCACGGGCAGCTGGAGCGGCGTGCTGTGGCCGCTGATGCCGGAGCTCACCTCCAGGAGCTGGAGCTGGGGGCAGCAGCTGCCCTGCAGGCGGGGCAGCCGGTCAGTTCCTGGAGGGCCTGGCTTGCAGTGGGCTGCGCTCCCACCGGCCACCACCTACCAGCAGGGCGCCCAGGATGGCTGTGGTCTGGGGGCCATAGGTCAGCCACAGTCTGCGCATCCGGGGCCCCACCTCCTCCAGAAAGCTCACAACGCCCGTGGCCTCCACCTAGGGGTCAGCAACACAGGGGCTTGCATCTGCTGGGCCCGGCTGCCCGGGGCGCCGGGGGCTCCAGGCTCACCGTGGAGTGTTGTATGTCCAGGCTGTGGAGCTGTGGACAGGCTCTGGCGAGCGAGACCAGCACGGCAGGGCCCACACCGTGGCAGTCGGAGAGCTTCAGGAAGCTGAGCCGGGGGCAGAACTCGCTGACCAACTGTGGACGACAGAGGGCCGCGGGGCAGGGAGGGCAGGCTGCGGTCCATAGCGCTGAGAAGCCAGGGCCGAGGCCTTTCCTCCAGGCCCAGCCCCGCGGGAGGAGCCAGTGGGATAGGGGGAGCGGGGAGGCACTCCCCTGGGGCAGCTCGAGTGTCCCCCAGCTGGAGGGCTCACCTTCAGCACCGCGGGTACCTGTGCCTTCCAGTGGAGGAGGGTCAGCCTCTGGAGCTGCGAGAGCCTGGGCGGACAGCAGGGGCCGAGCTGAACCGCCCCACCGCGGGGCAGCCAGAGGGGCCCCGGCTTTCCCGGCCACAGCCCGAGGGGGGCGGAGGGCGGACCACTCACCGGCTGGGCACCAGCCACTCCAGGGACGCCAGGAGCTGCTTCTCCGCCTTGCCCCCCGCCTTGGCGGGGCGGCCGGCCGGCGAGGGCGACAGGGTGACCGTGTGCCAGAGCGCGGGCTGGGCGGCGGCCTCGCGCCAGCGGCGGCACACGCGCGCTGCCCTGCGGGGGACAGCTCCGCTGAGGGCCGGGCTCCCGGCGCACCCGCCGGCCCCGGGGGCTTCTACAGGGCCGCCCCGCGCAGCCGCCCGCCGGGTACCTGCCGAGGAAGGGCGCGGGCCCGTCGGCCGCCACCAGCAGCCCGAAAATGCGCACGAGGATTTCCAAGGGGAGGCGGTCGCCCCAGCCGGGGTCGGGGCCCGGGGCCGGCGCGGACGGGGCGGCGCGGGCGCGGGCGCGGGCGCGGGGCAGCGGCGGGCGCGGGGCGCGGCGGGGCGCGCGGGCGCGGGCGCGGGCGCGGGCGCGGGCGGGCGGGCGGGCTCCGGGCCGGGCAGCACCAGCAGCACGCTGTCCGCCTGCAGCAGGTGGTAGCCGGAGCCGCTGGGCGCCAGGCGGTCCCACCACCAGTCCTCGGCCGAGCGGGCCCGCGGCGCGCCCCGAGCCCGGCGCCGGGCCCTCCGCGCCGCCCCCGGCGCCATGGTCCCCGCGCGCCCGGCGGGCCGGAAGGGGCGGGGGCTGCGGCGGAAGGGCGGCCGGGCCGGGCCGGGCCGGGCCGGGCGGGGGCGGCCGCGGAGCCCGCCGGAGGAGCCGCCGTCCGCGCTCGGGCCGCGCCCGGGGCCGCCGGGGGAGGAGAGCGGACGCGGCCGGGCGCCGCGCCGGGGCCGCCCCGCCCGGCGAGAGGCGGCGCCGGGGCCGCCCCAGGGCCGAGCCCGCCGCGGCCACACCCCCAGCCCCGGGGGCTCCGGCCGCCCAGCCGCGCCGAACCCCGACTCCAGGTGCGCGCGGGCCGCGGCGGGGCGGGGTGGCCTCGGCGCCGCGGGCCGCTGCCCCCTCGGTCCTCTCCTGGGGCCGCGGGCGGCCGCCTGCTGCTTTGCCGGCGGCGTCGGGGCCCCCCGGGGCGACGGGGGCTCCGCGGCCCCTCCCCGGGGGCGCCTCCCGCGCCCCTGCCCCCGGGGCCCGCCGGGCCTGACCGCGTGCGGCCCCTTTGCAGCTCGGCGGGCCTCAGCCCCAGCGGAGCCCGGCGCCTCCTGCGGACCTCGGTGCGGACGGAGCCGGCGCCGACGCTGCTGCGCCCCGGAGGGCCCGGCCGGCCCGGATGGCAGCACCCCCGCCGGGCCGCCTGGTGCTGACCCACCTGCTCGTGGCGCTCTTCGGCATGGGCTCCTGGGCCGCGGTGAACGGGATCTGGGTGGAGCTGCCGGTGGTGGTGAAGGACCTGCCCGAGGGTGCGCGGGCGCTCCTGCGGGGGGGCGGGGGGCCGCGTCCTCCCTGGGCGCCCCCGACCGGCCTCTGCCCTGCTCCGCAGGTTGGAGCCTGCCGGCCCACCTCTCCGTGCTCGTGGCCCTGGGCAACCTGGGTCTGCTGGCGGTGACCCTGTGGAGGCGGCTGGCCCGGGGCCGGAGCGAGCGGGCCCTCATCCGGGGGTGCAGGGGCTGAGCGTGGCGGGCACGGCCCTGCTGGCCCCGCTGTGGCCCCGCGTGGCCCCCGTGGCCGGGCAGCAGCACTCCGTGGCCTTCCTCGCGCTGGCCGCGGTGCTGGCTCTGGCCTGCTGTGCCTCCAACGTCACCTTCCTGCCCTTCCTGAGCCACCTGCCGCCCGTCTTCCTGCGGTCCTTCTTCCTAGGCCAGGGCCTCGGGGCCCTGCTGCCCTGCGTGCTGGCCCTGGGACAAGGCGTGGGCCGTCTCGAGTGCCCGCCGGCCCCCACCAACGCCACCCCGGGCCCCCCACCTCTTCCCGGAGCGTTTTCCCGCCAGCACCTTTTTCTGGGTGTTGGCCGCCCTGCTGGTCACTTCAGCTGCCGCCTTCCAGGGTCTCCTACTGCTGCTGCCCTCCCCGCTCCCCACCCCTCGGGGGGCCCAGGGCCTGGCCTGCGGGTGGGCGCCCCGGGCAGGGAGGAGGAGGCGGGGGAGGAGGAGGAGGCCTTGCCGCTGCAGGAGCTGCCCGGCCAGGCAGCAGGGGCCACCCCCAGCCCAGAACCCAAGGTCCAGCGGCTGCTCTCTGTCCGCGGCGCCTGCCTGCTGGGCCTGCTGGCCGCCACCAACGCACTGACCAACGGTGTGCTGCCGGCCCTGCAGAGCTTCTCCTGCCTGCCCTATGGCCGTCTGGCCTACCACCTGGCCGTGGTGCTGGGCAGTGCGGCCAGCCCCCTCGCCTGCTTCCTGGCCATGGGCGTACTGTGCAGGTGCGGGGGGCCCGGGCCGGGCGGCCGTGGGGGCCGGGCCCGAGCTCCGCTGAGCATCTGCTCCTTCCGCCAGGTCCCTGGCTGGGCTGGGCGGCCTCTCTCTGCTGGGCCTGCTGCTTGCGGTCTACCTGATAGTGCTGGCCATCCTGAGCCCCTGCCCCCCACTGGTGGGCACCTCCGCCGGGGTGGTCATTGTGGTGAGTAGATGTGGGCCATGGGTAGCGGGGGGCGGGGCACGGGACGCTTCACGCAGCTGCTGCTGCTCGCCCTCACAGGTGCTGGCCTGGGTGCTGTGTCTGGGGATGTTCTCCTACGTGAAGGTGGCCGCCAGCTCCCTGCTGCATGGGGGGGGCCGACCAGCCCTGTTGGCGGCCGGCGTGGCCATCCAGGTGGGCTCCCTGCTGGGCGCGGTGGCCATGTTCCCCCCGACCAGCGTCTACCAGGTGTTCCACAGCAGGAAGGACTGCGTGGACTCCTGCAGCACCTGAGCTCCGGCCGGCGGCACCTGCACGCTCCGCAGACCCACCGGCGAGGACAGGGCCACGCAATAAAGCCTTTCCACCCCGTGCCGCTCGTGGGTCCTGGCCGCGCGGGGGGTACCGGACACAGGCCCTGCCTGGAGGGCGCCTGGGCGCCGGCTGCCCCCACTTCCCCTCATTGTTCTGGCCCCGGGCTCCAGAATCGTCCTTGGGACTGGGGCTTTGAAGCCTCCTCCCACCTGGGCTGGGGCTCTGTCGGGGCTGGGGACATCACCCAAAGGCCCAGCCGGCCCAGCCCCGAGGATGGCGGGCCTCGGCCACCTTGCCGCGGAGGGCCGGGGCTCCAGGGCACCTGTGGTGGTGAGACTGAGGGCGTGGACGGGACCGGGCGGCGTGGCCTGGGCCTCGGCGCGCCCCTATCCGCTGCCCCAGCCCCTTCTTTCCGGACCCCAGGGCTGGGGCCAGGGGCCCCTCGGGCTCCTTCCGGCCCTTCCTCCAGACTAGGAAGGCGCTCCAGCTCCCTGCCCCCCGTGCCGCCGTCAGGGCGTGGGTCCAGCGAGGGCCTGCTGGACGTGCTGTCTCCTGGACAGAGGGGCCCTTTGAAGTGCCCGGCGCCTTCCTGTCGCTGCCTGCAGGAAACGGGGTGGGGGAGGGGCTCCCCAAGAGGCCGCCCACTCTCCCCAAGCCAGCCAGCCCAGCCCCGGCCAGCTGGGACTCCCGCCTGAGCTGGACAGGTGCTTGATGAGGGTGGGGCTGGGGCTTGAAGGGCCCCTGGGCTGGCAGAGGCCAGTCCTCAGGGACACAGGCCGCTGGAGCCAGTACCCACGTGCCCAGGCTCAGGCCTGCGCGGGGCCGCAGCCACGTCCTCCCAGACGCACCTGGTGCCCGGGACTGACAGCCCGGTGGCCACAGGAGGGCAGGACTGGTGGCGCTGGCCCAGCCCGTGCTCCACACCCACCGCACACCCAACACACTGCCGTGTCGGGGAGGTCAGCCGAGCCGCCCGGGCCCAGCCCTGGCCCCAGGGTGACCCTGCCTGGCTGCCCTCCGCCTCCTCCAGCTGGCGGCTCCTGGAGCAGCAGATCCCTCAGTGCGGGGCCCTCCCGGCAGACCTGATCCCCGTGGGGCCGTGGTGTGGCCAGTGGTGGGGAAGGGGCGGGTCCTCGCCTCTGCAGAGCCCCACTCGGGGAGGACAGCAGGCCTTTCAGGAACCCCCCACAAACTTGCTGCCGGCCTCCTTGGGACCTCCCTGTGGGTTCCTTCCACCCCAGTGCTGGCTTCCCTGAGCCCCCTGGAGCCCGGGGGCCGCTGGGGGCCAGGAACCCCACCCCACCCTGCTGGTGCACGACCCGCCCATGGGCGTCCGCCGCTGCAGGACAGATGGGCCAGTCCACGGGGGTGTCGCCCTACTGAGGGCTGGGACAACCTCCAGACTGCGCAGGAAGCGCCGGGTGGGCAGCAGAGGCCAAGGGGCTCGTGGGCACCAGAGCCCAGCTGCCCCAGCCTGACCGTCCGTGTCTGGTGCCAGGGCCCAGGATGGCCTGCTTGTCTCTGCCAAGGCGGTAGGGTCGTGTGTCTGGAGGGAGGAAGGTACACGGGGCCTGGACACTGCGGCCCCGCCCCCCACGCCTGACCTGTCCTCCCTCCGCCCAGGGCCTGTGGGGGATGCTAAGCACAGACCCTGGGAGGCCTGCCACCCAGCCAGGGGTGGCACCGCGTTCCCTGGGAAGCCCACCTGGCCAGTGCACTCCAGGCAGCTCCCGGGGTGGGCTCGGGCTGCAGGGGGTCAGGCTCTGGGCTCCCTGCAGAGCAGTCCACTGGGGCAGAGCCAGTGGCACCCCAGGGGGGACACAGCAGAGACGAGGAGGCCGGGCCTCCTTGGGGAGCAGGGCAGGATAGCGGGCACCTGGGCAGTCACTCCTCGCCCGTAGCGACCTCAGCAAGTGGCAGAGTCCACCCTCGGGGTCTCTTCAGGCAGGTGGCCTCTCCCTGGGGTGTCCTGCACCTCCCAGCCCCTTCCCTGCCCAGCGGCCAGCAGCCAGCCAGATGTGGACCCCCAAAGCCCACCAGGCCGTGGCTCCAGCCAGGTGGGGAAGCAGCTGGAGGACCATGCTCTGCTGTGGCTCCTTTTCCCAGTTCTGATTTCCTTTAAAAAAAAAAAAAAAAAAAAAGGTTTATTTAAAAAAAAAAGATTTAAATAAATAAATTTTTTTAAAAATTAAAAGATTTATTTATGCACAGAAGAACTGGGGTGCGGGGGGTGAGAGGACTCCCCAGAGACAGTGGGGACAGAACAGGCGGATCCACTGACACTGCTGAGGGTGCAGCGGGGAGGCAGGCGGGCTCTGCTGCGCTGTGTTGCGTCTTAACCCCTCGCTCTCCTGGTTCCGATTTTCCTCTCAAGTGATGAGGGCTTCGCTTGGTCAGCTTGTGGCCTGGAAGCCCCGCCCAGGGGACAGGGGTGGCGTGGCCCGGCCCCCGGGGCAGGCCGCCCGGCCAGCTGTGCGTAGCTACGCCAAGGGCCCTGGGCACGAGTTGGTGGTCGTCGATCTTTCATGGTTACGTCCAATTATTCTTTGCCTTTATTTTTTAATATCCAAAAGGGAAAGATTGTTCTAAAAATAGGAAAGGGGAGCCTCCCTGGGGGTACAGCGGGTTGAGCACAGCGCTGTGAAGCTGTCCGCGGCCTCTGCAGCACGAGTTCGATCCCAGCCGGCCAGGGAGCTGCCCACAGGGTACGGCAGACCTCGCCTATCTCCCCGCTGCTCCCCTCAGCCTGTTTCAGTGGGTCTGCCTGTTCTGCTCCCCACTCTGTCTCTGGAGAGTCCTCTCACCCCCCATACTTCTGGCCTGCACCCCAGTTCTATACAAAATAAAAAAAAATCTTTAAAAAAATTGTAATTACTGGTGTTTCCAATGTAAAAGTGCAATTGCTGGGGCTGTGACTGAGGTGTCCATGAACACCCCCTGTGACCTCTCCCGCCGTGACCCCGGGGCTGTGACACCCCCTCCCTGGCTGTGACCCGGGGGGTCTGGGGCACGGCTTAGACATTTTGGGGGACACTGCCCCTCGTCCCATCCCTTTTCTGTCTGCACGAGCGCAGTCCTGAAAACACTGCAGCTCTTTGTCCATTCACGGTGTTTGAGGGACTCGGGTGTCAGCACACCCGGGGCAGCCGGGGACCCCAGATTGTCAGGGCACAGTGCTAGGGGGTTGGCTGCCGCTGCACAAAGGCTGAGAAGCAGACGCCCAGTGTGGAAGGGGTTACTGGGGCAGGTGGGTACACCCCCCCCCAGGCAGGGTCAGCCGAACAGGCAGGGGTTTGGGGCTCTTTCTGGGGTTTTGGTGGGCTGCCGTGGAGGTCATAGGGGACCCAGGAAAGGTTTCTTTGGTGTCCCCGGGGGCCCAACCATCCAGTTTTGGGGAACTGACTCCAAACCACACCTGCAGGGACAAGACGCCCCCATCCCCAGGGCCCCGTGCTCTGCCCTGCCCTGCATCCTGGGGGGGTGCCGGGCAGTACAGGCCAGTGCAAGGAGGGGACCAACCTGAGGAGGGCGGGGCAGCCTCCCCACAGCTGCCTGACCCCCTGGGAAAGGACCTGGGGTCTGGGAGATCAGGTCGGAGTTCGATGGCATTGGCTGAAAGTGCTTTGGGGTGAAGCAATGTTTGCTTGGCTGAAGCTTCCAGCTGGTCACAGGCAGTTCGCCCGACGGGCCGGAGGCTTCCTCTGGCCGCCTGGGCCCGGCGTCTGTCCGCGGCCCCTCCGCTGGGCCCGGCGTGCGGGACTCCGCTCAGACGCTGCTGAGTCTCCCGGCGGCCTGGGCGTAAGCCTCGGAGGGATTCGCGCGAGTGTCTTCTCTCTCGTGCTCTTGGGGTCTCACGCAGTTACCCCCAGGCTTGGCCTCACGTGTGCCCCAGCCCAGCAGATGCCGGTCAGCCGCAGCCCCGCCTGTCCCCTGCCCCTCACTCCCGTGGTGTCACCCCAGAGGTGGGCGCTTCCAGGCCAGCCTGCTGGGACACGGCCCAGGGGCCATGGGGGCGGGTCTGGACACACAGCCCTGGGAGGGGTGGGGTCCACTGCCAGGCCCAGACCCCTGGACCCCAGGCCTGCTCCCCAGCCTTCCTGCTGCGGCAGCCAACCCCCTAGCGCTGGGCCCTGGCAGTCTGGGGTCCCCGGCGCCCCGGGTGTGCTGACACCCGAGCCCCTCAGACATGGTGAAGGAGTGGTCAAGACCCGACCCGGCCTCCTGCTCTAAGTGGGCTCCGCCACCCGCGTGGGGACAGACAGCGCAGCGCCGGCGGGGGTGGCCGGGAGCTCCCGCGGGGAGCGCGGGCGGACCAGGGGCTCGGCGAGCGGAAGCAGGTCCGGCCGGGCGCCTGCCTCGCCCGCCTCGCCCTCCCCGGCCGGGCTGCCGCCTGCGGGCCGCCTGGTGGCGGGAGGGCCGGGCCAGGCAGGCCCGGGAGGGGCAGCAGCGGCCAAAGGCCCCCGGGCCCACCTCCCCGGGGGCCGCCCCGCCTCTGCCTCCTTCCCCAGCCCCGGGGCCAGCGGTTTCCCACCGTCCCTGCCCGGGGCGCCCGTGGTCTCCCTCCTCGACCCCCCGCCCCTCTCCCAGCCCTGCCAGCGGCTCCTCCAGGCTGGCTCGCCCTCCCCGGGGGGGGGGGTCCCGACCCCCTCCCGCGGACTTCACACTGTCACGAGCCCCCGGGGGCGCCGCGGGGAGGCCGGGGGCTTCTGGGGGGCCCTCTCTGGAGGACCAGCTTCCGGGGGGTCGCTGGAAGCGGGGGCCTCGGCGGGCCCGGGGGTGCGGCGGGGCGCGCGGGGCAGCGGCGCGGGAGGCCGCCTCGCTATTGGACAGCCGAGAAAGGGGGGCCCCGAGCCTCGGGGGTCCCGCCGCCACGGCGCCGGGCTGCGAACCCCGCCGGCCGCCGCCAGGGGGCGCTGCGCACGGCCGACCGCGCGTGCGCACCGCGCCGCGCTCGCGGGGGCTGCCGGGCCGGGCCACGCGCCTGCGCGGACCAGCGGAGCCGCCGGAAATGTGGCGACCGGTGAGCGCCCCCCGGCCGGCCCCCGTCGGCCCCGCGCCCCCGCGCCCCGCGCCCCCCGCCCCCCGCGCCCTCGCGCCTCCGGGCGCGGCCCCAGCCCCCGCCCCCGAGTCCGTCCTGCAGCCGCCGTCCCCGGGCGCCGCGGCAGAGCCCCCGGGCGCGCTCCCCGAGAAAGTGCCCCCCGGAGCGCGCCCCGCGGGCCCCGACCCCGCCGGCCCCCCGAGGCCCGCGCGCTCCCGCCCCGGCGCCTGGGGCGAGGCCGCCGCTCGGGTTGGGCTGCCGGCCCCGCGGCGCCTGGCGCTGGCCTTGTCGCTTTTTTTTTCGAGGTTTATTTGTTTCTGCTGCAGGAGCTGGGGTGCCGGCCAGAGCTGCGCCGGGACAGGGCGCCCCGGAGACAGCGGGGGCAGAGCGGGCGCGGCCCCTGACACACTGCGGAGGGGACACGGGGGGGTGTGCTGCGCGGTGTGGGCAGCTCCCTGCCCGGGGTGGCCTCAGGCCGCAGCGGCTGGGACAGCCTCGTGGTGCTGAGACTGACCCCTGCGCCCCCAGGGGGGCCCTGGCCTTGCCGCTTTAGATGTCCGGGTGCAGGTGGCCAGTGCAGCGCCGGCAGGGGTGAAGGGTGCAGCGGCTCCTCTGGGCATCAGGTAGGGGCCTTGGCCGCTGGCACGCCTGTGGGCCGCGGAGCTGGAGTGTCCAGTCGGCTCCAGCATCCTGGGGCTCAGCTGTGGCGGCGGCCACAGGGCTGTGTCTGGCTGGGCCCAGCCTGGCCTGAGGCCAGCGAGTCCGGGGCACCCACTGCCCTGTGGTGTCCAGGCTCCAGGGCCTGGGCCTCGGCCTCGGGTGGCTCCATCTGCAGCCCCTTTGCCCCCTTGCGGGGAGTGAGCTGAGTTCGGGGCGCACTCTGCGGGCGGTCCTGCTCTGCCACTGGAGACTCAGCGGAGGGGTGTGCCCCGAGGGCCTCCTGGTGCAGTGCCCTGGCACCCGGCTCCGCGTGCCCTGCCGGCCCTGGGTGCTCCTACCTCCTGGGTGGCCTGGGGTCCCCCCTTCCAGCAGCCTCGTGGCTCTCGGGCGGCCGGAGGTCCGCTGGGGACGGTTGGAAGGTCCTGCACCCCGTGTGCAACAGCGGGCGCCTGAGCGGCCTGTCTGCATGGGGTCTGCCCCTTCCGCAGCGCCCACACCCGCGAGTCCTGCCTGGGGCTGCTCTGGCCCTTGCCGGCCAGCTGTGGGCCCGCGGGACCCCCCTATCCAGCCAGCACCACCCACTCCGCAGGGCCTGCAGAGCCCACGCCCCGTGCCCCCAGGGCCCTCTGGTGAGGACACAGGTGCGCAAGGGACCTGGCTACCGGGCGGTCTGTGATGCCAGGGCCCGTCAGGGTCCTTGTTGTGGAGCTCGTGGGGAGTCGAGCTGGAACCCTCAGCTCCCTGGGCGTGAAGCTCCCAGGGGCCCTCCCCGCCCTAGTGCCCAGGCCGTGGGGGCGCCAGCCCCGGCCCTGGCAACTCCTGCTGCGTGAGCCAGACGAGTTTCAGCGTCTTTGTCTCCGGTGACTTTCACGAGGGCCTGGGGGCACAGTCCCCGAGCTGGGTATCCCCGCAGACCCTTCTCCCCGCTCTGCCGGGGTCCCGCGGCAGGATGGCCGCCTGCTCTGTTCTGCTCTCCTGCTGCCGCTGACCTTGCCGCGTGCCCGCGCTGCCCGGCAGGGGAGGGGGCAGCTGGACGGACAGGGCCGGGGCAGGCCCACCTGCGCGCCGGGACCCGGGTGCCCGGCTGGCGTCCGTGGCCGAGTGGCTCAGCGCAGCCTTCAGACAAGCCTGGGATGGGGCCTCCGTGGGGGCGCAGGGGTCGGTCTCACGCTGTCAGGCTGTCCCAGCCACTGCGGCCGGAGCCCTATCCCCGGCCAGGGAGTGACCCACGGGGCGCAGCGGAACCCCCTGTCTCCCCGCTGCCCCTCAATGGTGTGTCTCAGTGGACCCGCCTGTTCTGCTCCCCACTGTCTCTGGGGAGCCCTCTACCCCACCCCTCTGGCCTGCACCCCAGCTCTTGTATGCGTAAATTAATCTTAATGAAAAAAACCCTGGGATCAGGTGGCCCCTGTGGCCCCCACCTGACCCCTCCTGCCCAGCCCCCTCGGCTCCCGGCTGCTCTCTGCCCTGGAGCAGCCCCCACGGCTCCCCGGGGTGCAGGCAAGTGTCCCCCCGGGGCCTGTGCCCGTGCCCTGGGGAGTGTGTGGTGGGGTGGGTCATGGCCGCCCGCAGGTCCAGCATGGGGGTGGCCTTGTCCGGAGGCCACTGGCCCCTGCTCATGGTGCCCCCTCGCCCGCCCCACCCCTGCAGTTGCAGCTGTGCCGCTTCCACGCAGCCCTGCTGCAGCCCCGGGCCGCGCCCTGGCCAGCCCGCACCGCCCTCCTCGGGAGGACACTCAGCGCCCGCCAGCCAGGGGTCAGTGGTGAGTTCCCCGCCACCCCGTCCAGTGCAGGGGCCTCGGGGGGGGTGGGGGTAGAGCCGGGCCGTGAGCACACGGGGGGAGGGGGGGCGCGAAGGCCGCTGGGCAGGGACCTGAGCCCTGCCGGACACCTGCTGGTGGATGTGCCGCCCGCGGCTGCCCGTGTCTGGGGCAGGCTCGCCAGAGGCCACGCGCGTCGCCTGCGCCTCCCCGTGGGACGGCGGCCCCGGGAAGGGCCAGCGGGCGGTGACCGGGCCCGGCCTCCCCGCAGGTCCTGGCGGCTGCGGCCCGTGTGGAGGAAGGTGCTCCCGGCCGCGGCGGTGGGGCTGCCCCTGCTGCTGGGCGTCCACTATGTCAGCGCCGCGCCCCAGGAGAGGAGGCGGATGCGGCTGGTGCTGGACGGCCTCGGGCGCTTCAGCAGGTCTCTGCTCCCGCCCGCGCAGCCCTTCGCCTGGGAGGGCCCTGGGTGCCGCAGGGCGGCCGCCGCTTCCTCTTCCTTCTGGTTCCCTCACCCCCGCTTCACCAGGGGAGCGGGCGTGGGGAGGGGACCCCACTCCTGCCTCACGGGGAGCCTGGGCTTCTGGGGCGGGCTGGAGGTCCAGGCGCGGCCAGAGCAGCGGATCCACCGCGTCTCCCTGCCAGTCCGCGGGCGGCTTCCTGGGGCCTCCGGCAGGTTCCGGGGTGCTGGCTCGGTGGCCCCCTCAGGGTCTGGCCCGCGCAGCTGCTGCAGAGCGCTCTGGGCGCGGCCCGCGGTGGCCGGCGGCTGTCCCCCGAAGGTCGGCCGGCGCCCGGCTGGGGTGGAGGAGGCTCCAGGTGGCCGCGCGGCCCCTCTGCGGGCGTGGGGGGCAGAGCCCGCCGAGGGCGGGCCAGGACGGGTCGAGCAGCGCCCTGGCGTCTGCCCCGGGCCCCTTAATCTTAACTCTTTAGTATCATTGGGGTCTCTGCCGCTTTGGCGTGGATACAGTGTCGGCGCCCAGGAGAGGGGGAGCAGCAGACAGCGGCGCTCGTCACCACGCCCGTCACCCGAGCCGCCTGCTCCGGGCGGCGGGTGGCCGGGCCCCTGCCTCTCCCCTGCACCGCCCCTGCCCGCCGGCCGGGCCCTCCCGGCCTGGGGTCCGCTCTCAGGCCGGCGCCCTTGGCGCCCAGCCGGCCCCTCTGCAGGGCGCTGCCCCCGACGGGGAAGGCCGCCCCACTTTCCTCCCTCGAGGGCCGCTCTGCTGCGCCCCCCTTGCGTCGCCTACGTGGGCGGGTGCATGTGCCCTGCTGGGTTCTGTCTGAGCCTCGCGCTCCGGGGCCTCCCACTCCCAGGCCTGCTGGCGCCGGCCCCAAGCCCGGTGAGGGCACCTGCTGCCCCTCTGCGTGGTGGCCGGGCCGGGAGCGCCGGGAGGGCCTGCCGGCGCGCTCCCCGCACACGGCCACGCGGGGCGGCTGGGGGGCAGGCGCGGGGGGCCCACGCGTCAGGCACTCGCTGACCTTGCTACCTGGCATCCACCCGTGACCAGGCAGAGCCCACAGCTCCAGGCTGGACCCTGGCCGGGCCTCCTGCTTCTGGGAAAGCGCTCGGCCGGGGGCCTCATCACTTGCTCCCGGCCTGGGAGGAGTGACCGCGGGCTGGACAGGGCCGGGAGGACCAGGGCCTCGAGCAGGGCCTGTCCTCTGCCCCGGCGCCGCCCAAGCCCAGCAGCGGGGCTCACTGGCCTCTGCCGCAGGTCCCTGCGCGTCGGCCTGCAGATCTCCCTGGACTACTGGTGGTGCGCTAACGTCACGCTGCGGGGCGTGGAGGAGGTTTGTCCCCACGTCTGGGCTGAGGGTGCTGCCCGGGGGCGCCGGAGGAGGCGCCCGCCCACCCCGTGCCTTCCCTCCATCCGGGTCAGAACAGCCCGCGGTACGCCGAGGTGATGTCCGCGTGTCACCAGAGGGCGGCTGACGCCCTGGTGGCGGGGGCCATCAGGAACGGGGGCCTCTACATCAAGCTGGGCCAGGGGCTCTGCTCCTTCAACCACCTGCTGCCCCCCGAGTACATCCAGACGCTGCGCGTGCTGGAGGACAAGGCCCTCACGCGGGGCTTCCGGGAGGTGAGTGCGGCCTCCGGGCGTGGGGCCCGGGCCTTGGGCCCGGCCCCGCTGACCGCGCGCCCCTGCAGGTGGAGGAGCTGTTTCTGGAGGACTTCCAGGCACCGCCCCACCAGCTCTTCCGGGAGTTCGACTACCGGCCCATCGCCGCCGCCAGCCTGGCCCAGGTGCACCGCGCGCGGCTGCAGGACGGCACTGCCGTGGCAGTCAAGGTGCGCGGGTCGCCCCGCGTGGGGGGGGCTGGGGGGCAGCGGGCAGGCCCCACAAGCCCCCCCGCCCCGCGCAGGTGCAGTACATCGACCTGCGGGACCGCTTCGACGGGGACATCTACACTCTGGAGCTGCTGCTGCGGCTGGTGGAGCTCATGCACCCCAGCTTCGGCTTCGGCTGGGTGCTGCAGGTGGTGCTGCCGGCAGGGCGGGCGGGCGGGCCGACGCGCAGCCTCCACACGTCCCCCGACAGCCCCTGGTCTCTAGGACCTGAAGGGGACCCTGGCCCAGGAGCTGGACTTCGAGATGGAGGGCCGGAACGCCGAGCGCTGCGCGCGGGAGCTGCAGCACCTGAGCTACGTTGTGGTCCCCCGTGTCTACTGGGACATGTCCAGCAAGGTGGGCTGCGGCCCGGGTGGGGCCGGGGAGGCCCCGGGCCTGCGAGCTCAGCCGCCGGCTCTCTCCTAGCGCGTGCTGACGGCCGAGTTCTGCGAGGGCTGCAAGGTCACTGACTTGGAGGCCATCAAGGCCATGGGGCTGGCGGTGCCGGACGTGAGTGCTGTGCGCAGGCGGGGTGCGGGGCATGCCGGGTGTGCGCACGGGGTGAAGGCCGCGTGCCCTGTCCTCGCCTCAGATCGCCAGGAAGCTCATCCAGGCCTTCGCGGAGCAGATCTTCTACACGGGCTTCATCCACTCCGACCCCCACCCAGGCAACGGTAGGGAGCGGGTGGCGCTGCGCGTGGGGGTGGGCGGCGCTGGTGGGGCAGGGGCAGGCGCGCAGCCCCAGCCCACGGGCCTTGCCCCCTAGTTCTCGTGCGGAAGGGGCCGGACGAGAAGGCACAGCTGGTGCTGCTGGACCACGGGCTGTACCAGTTCCTCGATGAGAAGTAAGGGGGGAGGCCGGGGCCGGGGGCCTCCCCGCTGCCGCTGCCCTGCCGCCCCACGCTCACTGCCGAGTGCCCCGCAGGGACCGGACGGCGCTGTGTCAGCTGTGGCGGGCCATCATCCTGAGGGACGACGCTGCCATGAAGGCGCACGCGGCTGTGCTCGGGGTGCGAGGTGAGGCCGGGCCTCGGGGCGGGGTGGGCGGCCTGGCTCAGCCCCCCACCCAGACTACTTCCTGTTCTCCGAGGTGCTCATGCAGCGGCCGGTGCGCCTGGGCCAGCTGTGGCGCTCGCACCTGCTGAGCCAGGAGGAGGTGGCCTACATGCAGACCATGGCGCGCGAGCACTTTGATGACATCATGACCGTGCTCAAGGCGCTGCCGCGCTCCATGCTGCTGGTGCTGCGCAACATCAACACGGTGCGCGCCATCAACACGGGCCTGGGCGCCCCCGTGGACCGCTACTTCCTCATGGCCAAGAGGTGGGCAGGGACGGCGGAGGTCGGGGTGGTGCATGCGGCACCCATGGCGCTGACCCCGTGCCCCCGGCAGTGCGGTCAAGGGCTGGAGCCAGCTGGTGGGCACCGTACGCCAGGGCTTCTACGGGGCGAGCCTTCTGCGCCCCCTCAGGGTCCTCTGGGAGATGTTCAAGTTTGAAGTGGCCCTGAGGTGAGTACCCCGGGCGGGGGGGCTGGGGGGGGCTGGGCGGGGCTGGGGCTGCCCCTGCCCTGACCTCTTGGCCCACCCACCGCAGGCTGGAGATCCTGTCCATGCGGCTCACCTCCCTGCTGATTCGGACCCTGGTCTACCTGGGCTTCATGCAGGAGCCCGAGGGCCTGTATGAGTACCTAGAGGCCTAGGGCGGCCGGGCGGGAGGACGAGGACATGGACTGCGCCGGGCCTGTGGATGGAGCCAGCTGCGGCGGGAAGGGTGCACACCCCAAGACCTGGGGGCTGGGTCAACTGTGGCCTGTGGCCGCGAGCAGGGGGACCTGTGGGGCTCGGACCACGACCTGCAATGACCACATGCTTTTCTCAAATCAAAACTTTCATGTTTGTGTTTTGTACAAAAAAGGTGTGGGGTGGGGGCCAGGGCCGGCCAGGCGTCTAGAAGTGGGCGGTCACTCGGTCGGTCTCCAGCAGGTCGTCCAGGATCTGTGGGGAGGGGTCCGCGTGAGGGGTGGGGCGAGGGGGCGGGGCGGGGCCACGCGGGCAGGGCGGGCGGGGGCTCACGATGTCCGGCGTGGTGCCGATCTTCTTGGCCAGCTCGCCGCGCTCCATGGTGCTCAGGTACAGGTAGCGGTTGAGCAGCTCCCCGTCCAGCACGTTGCGCACAGCGTTCTGGAGGATGCGGCGGTCCACGTGCAGCATCCTGGGGACAGGCGGGCCGGTGAGGGCGGGCGGGGTGGGGCGGGACGGGGCGGGCAGGCCGCAGGCTCACCGGAAGGCGCGGGGGTTGAGGCCAGCGTGGTGGGGCAGCATGGTGGTCAGCGCATTCTGCAGCATCAGCAGCCGCCGATACGTCTTCTCCTGCATGGGCAGCAGCAGCCCGATGCCGCCGTCCAGCGTGGCTGCGGGAGGAGCATGTGAGCCACCGGGCCCCGGGCACACCTGCCTGCCCCACCTGGTACTCACCGAACCACGTGATGTGCTTGTTCTCCCACACCACTGACTTCTTGCTGGGGCCCTCGGCGGCGCCCCGGCACGGGGTCCTCCAGAAGGTGTTGACGTGGGCGCCCACGTGGAAGTCGGCGCGGCGCAGCAGGCGCATGCCCCCGAAGCTCTCCTTGGCTGCAGAGTGTGGGTCAGGGTCCCGCCGGCCCGCCCCGCCCCGCCCCGCCCCGCCCCCGGCACGCTCACCTTCTGGCAGGTACATGTACACCATGAGGTTGCGGTCCCGGTCAGACACTGCGGAGCAAAGCCCAGTCAGCCTAGTCAGCCCGGCCCCACCCAGCCCCTGCCCCAGCCCGTGCTGCTCCGCCGGGGCTCACCCAGGAAGCCCAGCTGGGCGTTGTCCACCATGAAGTCCACGCTGTACACCTCCAGGGGCTTGGCATCCTGGGGACAGCGGTGGTCAGGGGGGGCCGGGGGGGCCTGGGGCATGCCCGCCCGCCCGCCCACACCGCCGGTACCCGGGAGACCAGGCTCAGCGTCTTGCTCTCCTCCTGGTAGCGCAGCAGGGAGATGCTCTTCATGACGTCGGCGGCCAGGATGAAGTTCTTGACACTGATCATCTGGTGGATGTACAGCTGCGTGTCGATGAAGGCCATGCCCGTCAGCTCGCTGGCCCGCAGGCTCCACAGGAAGATCTGCAGGGGGGGGTCGGGGAGGGCAGTGAGCGGGGGGCGGCAAGCAGCAGAGGGGGCAAGGCAGGTGGGCAGGGCTACCTTCTGGCCGATGGCCGACACCAGGTGGCCGTTGCAGTGACACAGGGCCGTCACGGGCCCTTTCTGCTCCTTCTCGTACAGGACCTTGAACTTGTTCTTGGTTAGGGGCTGGCCAGGCTCAGGCACCACCTCAATCACATCCATGATCAAGATCTGCCGGGAGGGTGGTGGCTACTGCAGGACTGTGGGGGAGGGGAGGGGAGGCAAGGGGAGCCCACCCACCCCCAGGCCCGCCCCACACTCACCCGCCCGCGGCACGTGACCTCCTCCCCCTGCATGAGGCAGGTCCCCGCAGCCACGTAGCCCTTGAGGCCAGACACGGTCTCCTCGCTGCGCAGCGACACCGTCTTCATGCAGGTCACGTGCTCCCACTCCTCCAGCTCAATCCTGCGGGCAAGGGTCAGGCGCAGGCTGGCAGGACACAGCCCAGGCCCCGCCACGGGCCCCGCCCAGGTCCAGCCTCACCTGGCATTGGGGATGGCCTCCCAGCTGACAGGAGAGATGAGCTGGATGGAGAAGGCCTCCTGCTGAGGGTGGATGTAGCGGTCATCTGCAGGGACAGGGCAGTGGTCACGGGCTGGAGTGGTGAGAACCGCGGAGGACAGCGCAGCAGCGGCTCGAACCTCTCTCGATGGTCTCGAACTCCTTCTCCTCGCCGGTCATGCGCGGGATCCGCGTGCAGGGCGTGTTGGTGCTGGTGGCCACGGCGTACACCTGGGGAGGCAGGTGTCACCCCGCAGGCGCCTGTCCCACCCCATCCCCACCAGCTCCGTCCCGCCCCCGCAGCCCGCCATACCTTGGACTCCACGTGGTAAGCCACATAGTGGGCCGTGCAGCGCAGGGGGATCTTGCGGACCGGCCAGGGGGCGTCGTAGGACAGGTAGGCGGGCAGGACGCTGATCCGCAGCTCGCCCTGGGGGCGGGGGCGTGAGGCCGGGCACAGGGCCCAGCCAGGGCCCAGGCTTCCCCAGACCCGCTGCCCTGCCCCGGACTTCCCGTGCCTTCTCCCAGGCCGGCTCGGGCTGTGGTCTGGGTTGCAGACGCCTAGATCCCTCTCTCAACAGCCCGCCCACTCCATGGCCACCCAGTGGCCTGCAGCAGTCACTGGACACAGACTCAGCATGAACCCTGCTCTGGTCCCGGGGCTCTGTCTGGCTCTGCCCAGCCCAGGCTGCAGCCCCTATGCCTGACCTGCCCAAATTAAGCCACAGGCCCACCTTCAGGCACAACACCCACCCCAAGTGAAGTCCAGGGCCGCCAGGGTCTCAGATCCGGGGTCAGCACCCTGCTACGCCCCTAGCAGTGCCGGCCAATGTGGAGGCGTCACAGGCTGCGGGCGCCCCGTCCTACCTGTCTGTTGAAGTACAGGAAGCCACGGGGACAATTGACGTTGTGGAAGGGCGCGAAGGAGTCAATGGGGCCGTCAATGCCCATGGGGTGCAGCCGCAGGGCCCCCCGGCCAGTCACCAGAAGCCAGTGGGGAGCAGGGCCGCAGATGAACACCTGGGGGCGGCCCCGTAAGCAGGCTGCGGGGGCAAGGCCCGACCTCCCATGTCACCCACGTACCCCTGAGTAGCCGTAGATGTCCTCAAAGTAGCGGAAGCGGGCGACACGGCCGCGGGTGCCAGCCCCCTCCTCAGCGCTGCCCTCTGCTTTCTTCTTGGAGGGCTTTGGCTTCTTCTCGCGGAAGTTGATGTTGTGGGGCACCTACAGGGGCGCGCAGTGAGGGCCCAGCCCCAGCCACCCCTCAGCCCCCCAGCCCCGCCCCCAGGGGCCGGCAGGGCACCTTCTTGAAGCGGACTTTGAGGTTGCCCTGGCCGAGCTGAGAGTCGTGCGGGAAGGCTTCATAGATGAGCAGCTCCTGGTCCACGTGCACCTGGGGCCACACAGGGTCAGTGGGGGCGGCGACGGGGCCAGCGGGGCGCCCTGCCCACACTCACCAGCAGGTAGGGTCGGCTCTGCCGGCTGCCCAGCGCCACCAGCAGCACCTCCTTGACCAGGGGCAGCTCCCCCTGGCGCGTGGCCTCCTCCTTGCGAGCCTCACCCTGCGCGGTGGGCTGCCCGAAGGAGCTGTCCACCAGGACGCGCTGGCCCACGGGGAAGTTCTTCACCAGGAACACCAGGCGCCAGTCTGGGAGCTGGTAGATCTGGGGGAATGCCAGGTCAGCTGCCGCGGGCGGGGTTGGGGGGTGGAGTGGGGCCTGGGCGGGCGCGGGAGGCGCACCCACCTCCATGGTCCCGTTCTCCCGCACCAGCAGGCACCAGTGGGTGGGGTCTGCGCGGAAGGGCGCAGGGTCCCGGTCGGCGGGGGGCTGGCTGCTCCTGCGGGGCTCCTCCTTGCTGGGGCTGAAGAGGGAGCCCGAGTCCCCGTACAGCATCTCCTCCTCGTCGTCCACCGTGGGGCTGGGGCGGCAGGCAGGTCAGGGATGTCCCGGCAGCGGGCCCCGCCGGCCCCCGGCCCCCACGCACCTGGTCTCAGTTCCCGGGCCCTCTGCCTCCGAGCCACTGCGGCCCCCCAGCTCGTCGCGGGCGCCCCCCAGGCGGCTCTCGGTCGTGAACATGCCACTCACGTCGCGGTACACACAGAGTGTGATCACCCTGGATTGCTGCAGGGCGGCGAGGCATCAGCAGGGCAGGGTATTAGCAAGGCGGGGTGGTCAGCAGGCAGTCAGCAGGCGGGGGAGGGGGCGGGCGGGCCTACATAGTGCAGCGGCGGCTTGTGCAGCGCCAGGCGGTGGTGGCGGCCGCCATAGGAGTCGCTCTTGAGCAGGAACATGGTCACGTGGCCCTCGGCGCTCATGATGACCACATAAGGGTCAGCCACGGCGCACTGCACGATGGGGGAGCCCAGGTCCACGGGGATGAAGTGCAGCTGATTCACTGGGGGCACAGGGCAGGTCACCAGCAGCCGGTCCCGCCCCAGCCACTGCCCCTCCCCACCCCAGCCGCTGGCCCACCTCCTTCCAGCAGGCGGATGCCCAGCGGGGACACCTGCACGATGTAGCGGTTGTCCCCAATGTTGCCAGCGAAGACAGTGGGGCCCTGGGTGGCAAACCCGCTGGTGTCCAGCTCCATGATCTCCTGGCCTGTCTGCAGGATCTGTGGGGGGGGTGTGTGTGTGAGGTGAGCCCAGTACCTGCAGGACCCCCGCCCTGGGACACCCCTCACCATGGTGGAGTCTTCCCGGCTCAGAATAAGGAACCCGTGCTTTCGCCCATCGTCATCTGCTTCCGGGGTGCTGGGCTCCTGCTCTGCCTCCTCCACCTTGGGTGTCTCCTCCTGTGAGGCGGAGGAGAGCACGGGTCCCTAGCCCGGCCAGGGCTGCAGGCAGAGCAGGACCCCTCACGCGGGCAGGCGCGACCACCCGAGGCAGCTCATCGGAGTCCTGCCCCCCTCCCCCGTCATGAGTAAGCGCCCCCCACAGCAAGCACCCCGCGCCCAGGCCACCTGCTCCTTCCGCACAGGGGCAATGACCGTCCACATGTCGTAGCAGCCGGGCAGCTCGAAGGTCGTCACCACCTGGGGCCGGATGCTCTTCTGGAATGGCCACGATGGGGTGTGAACCCCCAGGTCCCACCAGGAGGACACCCCACGCGCACCCGCACCCCATATGCACACACGCCACACACCTGCAGCACCGACAGAGCCCCGTTCTTCCCGTAGCCAGAGCACACCACGATCTCCAGGTCCGGCTCGGGGCTGTTCTGAAACTGTGCGGGGGCGGGGTGAGGATGGACCCCGCCCT